CTCCTCAGTCCATCTCACCTAGTATTCCATCTTTGGCTGCCTCCTTCTTCATACTCTCTTTGCCTTTCTTTTGTAATCTTTTGAGATCTCGGCTCCGGAAATGGGCCACCACCCCAGAGATAAGCAGACTCACTGAAGGGGATCAAAAGGAGCAAGTGGGTAGGGGAGCCCCTCACCTGAAGCTTTACTGAGGCTTGGCTGCTGCCTGCCCCCCCCCCCCCACACCACCCCCATCCCCGCCGCCTCCCAAGGCTCACTGTGCCCGGCTTCGACTATACCAAGAAACTAGCCCTGCAAGCCAGCAGGTAATGAGGGGCAGGGACAGACCGTGGGAAGGGGGAGGAGGAGAAGAAAGATGGGTGAGGGGGTGAAGGGCCCACCTAGAGGAAGACAGCAGAGAGCCACGAGGGTGATACCAAAACCAGGACCACTGCCCTCAAAGTAGTCAGTCACGGTCATGGACACACAGGTTGGCAAATCCTTAATTGTGAGTTGCTTGGGCTGAGGACACGGTGCACCTGAGGGAGAGGGCACAAAAGAATCTCAAAGTCTGAGGGTCCTACTCCTTGGCCAAGCATCCTCCCTCTCTCCTGTAAAAAACCAGGTACCCTCCTCTCTCCCAGGCTCACCTCACTGGAACATGTTCCCCTCCAAAAGTCCCCTCCCATATCCCATCTCGCAGCACTCACCGCAGCTTGACCACAGGGTGCAGCCTGCAAACTAGTCCAGTCTCTAGTCGGGGAGATGGCCTAATGCAGACCTCCTAGACTAACAAGGAGGGGGCTGCCTGGTGCCTGGCTCCCTGGACAGCACCAAGTGATCCCTCAAACCTTGGTTCTTTCTCTGGCAGCCATCTCTTGTATTCTCCCAGGCCACCTACCTTCATGCCAGATAAAGACATTGGGCTGCAGGGCACTGCGGTCCACGTTAGTGACAGCCACCAGCACGTCCCGCAGAGTGGTGTTTCTGATTTCTGCAATTTCTTCTCTGGAGAACAGCCTAAGTTGGAGGAAGCCAAGGATTTTGAGGATGGGAAGGGGTTGTAGGCCTCTAGCAACCTCAGCACCAGGTACCCAGGTGAGGAAAGAGACCCAGAGGGTCTGGGAAGAAGGTGGGGCCAGTTGGGAATCAAGAGCCCATGGGGACTGTTTACAGGAAGAGGGTCTGGGCTCAAGGCCAAGTGGGAGCCAGGCAGGCCTTACCCATTCTTGGTGTTCTCAAACCAGTAACGGTCACCATCCCGCAGACGCACAAACTGGTCTAGGACTATGGCACTGAAAAGGGGTCCGGGGTCTCCCTGGCTCTCCAGGAGCCCCCCAGGGAGTAGCTCCAGCAGGGACAGGTCGTGGTTGTACAGGGCAGCTGTGGCCTCCAACACCTGGGGAACCACAGGAGGTGAGGTCTGTGTGTACACAGGTGTGTCTATGTGTTGGGAGGGCAGCCACTCTTGCCCCATCCCTCAAACATAGAACCCCATCAGCTACTTGGCTTGCTGTTCAGGTCTCTTTCTAGGCAGCCCCCTTGGCTGGTGGCAAATCTTGTGGGAGGACCAGTGTATCCCTGCCCATGCTGAGACCACTGTCAAATGCCCAAGGATATCTCTTGTGACCATCACTACCCAGACTGCCTGGCCCCAATGATTAGCAGCTTCAGAGTCACCCAACTCTTGGGGAGGAACCCCGCAGGAATAGGGCAATGGCACCCACCCAGGGGCTACCCTGCAGGAATGGTACGATGTAGTGATGAGGAACATACTCTGGAATCAGGTGGCTGAATTTAAATCCTGCATCTACGAGTGACTTCACAACTATGTCATTGATAAAATGGGGATAATAGTAGTATCTACCCTCCCACATTCCTAACGTAGATTAAACGAATTACATGTGTCAAGGACCGGGAACAGTAGGGCCACAGGAAAACTTTAGTTGCTATTATTATCATTACTATTCCTGACCTGGGCGTCCACATTGGGGTTGAAGTAACTCCAGTTCTTCGGGTTCTCTAAACCCAAGGCTAGCAGAGCTTGACTATAGCTGGGCAGCCCCATATCCCTGCCACGCTGGATGCTGCTGGCCACGTAGTCTGTGCGGGAGAACTTGCCAAAGCCAGGCCAATAATCTAAGGAGGGGAGAGGACTAGACTATAGGCTCAGTCACTTCAACCCTTCTTTGCCCAATAGCCTCCAATTGGGCTGTTGACACTACCCTCCCCCTCTCCCGCCCCCAGCACTTGTCTACATGTGACTGTATCCATATCATCCTTGCCTAGGTGTGGAGTCCATGTCACCATGGCACTAGAGACTTTTTCTGCTAAGTCTCTTCCCTTAAGACTCAAGACTGTTTTAGTTACCAAGCAGAAAATTCCCTAGCCTCTACCTCCTTAACTTCAAGACAGGACTGAATGAAAACGTTTAGAGACCTAAGCATTGAAGAGATTGTGGTGCCGCCCTTCCCCCACATACTCAGACATAGGCAATTTAGAATGAAAACAACACTAAACTGTAAGTTGAGGGGAAATTTTCAAAGCTTATTTTCTTCTAATGGCTATTTGCAGTGTACCTCTGTCTCTGCACTGTAGGTACCATAGGTCTACCTGTTGATTAACTCAAAAGAATTCCCCAGGCTGCCAGGCCTCTGGGCCCCTTTCCCTTCCGGTTCCAGAGCTCACCCCTAAGATCTTCAACCACTATCCTGTCCTCCAGCTCTGAAATCTGGGAGGCCATTCCCAGCAGCAGTTGATTCACTGCCTGGGCACTGTTCAGGTTGGGGTTCTGGAAATAAACAAGACTCTCAGTCAAGAAGGCTTTCAGGTCCCTTCCCAAAGCCCAATCCCTCTAACCTTGGACCACAGGACAAAGGTCCCTTGGCCAGTCCCAGACTCTCTTGAGCTGTTGTCCCCAGATAATTTTCTGATTCCTCTACCCTTCATCTCCCACCACCCTGGAGCAGCAACACTCAAGAATTGGAATTGTTGCTTTCCCCAGCCTATGTAATGAGACTGACCTTGAGCCACCTTCCCTTGACCCTGACCCCAGGCTGACCTCCCGAGTCCAGTAGCTGTTGCAGACTCTGAGAGCTCTAGAGGTGTTAAGACCCATGGTGATATTCTGGAAATCACAGCTGGCAGTTCTGAAATGGGGAATCAAGAATGTGGTGAGGGGATTCAGGGAAGAAGCTAAGATGGGGTTGAGTTAGGTGAGGGATTCAGAGGGGGTTGGCCAGGTCTGAGGGATAGTCCCTGAATTTCCTTGAAGTTCTGGCAATGTGTGTGGATTGAAGATAAAGGTTGCTCTTTGTCCACACAGGGTGGGAAGGGAAGGAGGGAAAAGGGTTATCCAGCTGATGGACAAATCCTGCTCTCAGCAACTGAAGTTCAGTCATTATAAGGAGCTGGGGAGATTTCCCTGTTAAGGCTGAATTTCCTATCCCAGGGTCCTGTTTTAAGACCCCAACGTCTGCTTCCTTCACATCATTGTAGAGGTGTAGAAAATGCTCCAGGACCCCAGGCCCACTAATTCACCACCTCTGCCAGTGCTGTGCCTCCCCTCCCATCACCAGCCTCTCCCTCACCTCATGTAGACGCCAGGGGGCACCATGGTGGAGAGGAACTGTTCAGAGGCTGCCAGGAACTCTGGAGAGATGCTGGGGTCCAGGAAAGGGCGGTACCCTGCCCCATGGGAGGAATAGGAGAAATAAACTCCTGAACCCTCCATCCTCCCATAACAGGCATCCAACTGTCTTCTTTCCACCCATGGATCCTAACCACAACCTCCCTCAACACAGGTGCCCCCCATGCCCTCACCTGTATATTCTGGGGGTGTTTTCTGCAGGAAGCTGGGCAGCCACTCATACAGAGCAATGTTCTGAGGGTCAAGAGAGAGGAAAGGTGGGTCGAAGGCTCCAGCTGCCAGGCCAGGAGGGTCTGAGCCAGGGGAGGCTTAAGTGGGAGAGGACGGCCAGGCAGGGGCAGTCATGGGAAAGGCAACTCAAGTGGGAGAGGAGCTGAGCCTCTCCCACAAGGAACAAGGGATGGGGGGGGGGAGCAGCTAAATCTCTTGTGTAAGTGGCACTTTGCCTCCCTGTCATCCCTAGACTTTAGCTCTCCACGTGAGCAGGGGGTCCTGCGAGCGAGGGAAGGCGGGTCACCGGGTCCTGGTCACCAGCTGTCCCAGTAAAGGGTGTTTCTGGGTGGCCGGTGTCCAAGGATGGGGGGCTCTGCAGGGGAGCAGAGTCCCCGTGGACCAGGGCAGGAGGGTGGGGCGGGAGGGCCGTGGCACTGACCTGGTAGGTGGCAATGACCCTCTTGCGCGCGTGCTGGAACAGCTCCTCGTCCCCCCAGCGCGGGTGCTCGCGGGCCAGCCTCTGCGCGCACAGGTTGTGGAAGCGGAACCAGAGCAGGCCCAGCGCCTGCAGGAAGGGCTCGCGGTTCCCTCGCTCGGCCCCGAAGGCTGCATCCGCCAGGGGGACGCAGGAGGAGAGGAGCGGGTGTGACCCAGGGGAGCGCCACCTCGCAGACCCCAGCCCGCCCCGCCCTCCCGCCCGCCCTGGCGCCCCGCGGCCTCACCATACAGCCCCCGGGCCCCGCGCTGTCCCGTGGCGGGGTCGGGCGCGGTCCACATGAGCAGGGGCTCCTGCGCGTCCCGGGGGAAGGCGGGGTCGGCCCCCGACTTCAGCTGCCCCCCAGAGAAGCTCCGCAGCGCGTCGCTCCAGGAGTGCGAGGAGCCATAGATGGCGCTGCCGTCCAGCCAGCCCGTCACCTCGTTGGTCTGACAGGTGAGCAAGGGGGTAGTCGAGGCGGGTAAGGGGGGCCCAGGGCCAGGCGGGTGTCCGTGGGTGTGGGTGGGGGGATCCTCTCCGCACACGACCCTGCCAGACCCGGAGGCCAGAGCCCCACCCGCCTGGGATCCAGCTCCTGCCCGGCCACCTGCCCATCTCACCAGGTCCCGGGGGTTGCTGGGGCTCTGTCCGGTCTTGGGGTCCCAGCGGCTCCTCTGGAAGGGCAGCACCACGTCCCCGCGCCGGTCAGGGTCGAACACAGGGTCCCCACGTGGGATGTGGATGTTGAGGAACTCGGCGGGGCAGCTAGGTCTCTCTATGCTCACCAGGTCCGAGAGTACGTGGTAGCCTGCGTGCGAGGGGCGCGAACTGGTGAGAATTGCCACTTCCTGTGGCCGAGTTTCTCAAGAGCCAAAAGGCAGATGTTTGAGTGCAAGCGTTACCAACAGCTCTGTGGCTTTTTTCTAATCTGCAAAGTTGTTGTGATCATCAATATAATTAATATAAGCCCCCTCCCCAGCCAGTCCCCATCTCCTAATAGGTCCTTCCACCTCCCCTCCTCTAGCGGGGGTGGGAGGGGGAGGGCAAGGGGGGAGGTAATGGGGGGAGGGAGAGTATGATCTTATTGAGAGGAGAGCGTGGCAGGGGACTCAGCTCCTGAGAACTGTAATGGAGGGCCGGGGTTACTCCTGGGTTTGGAATAAGAGGTAAAAGAAAATGTATGGGAGCAAAGGTCCCTGAATGGAAACCCCAGATCCCTCTGAGATGAAAAAAGGCTCGTGCTGCTTAGTGGGGGTCGGGGGGTGTGGCTGAGGACTTGCAGAGGGGCTCAGTGGGTGGGCCCTTGTGTTTTCCCTCGTTGCCCTCACCGAAGAAGACCCCCAGCACGGTGCGGTTGCGGCGGGATGGCAGCCCGGCTGGGCCCTGCATGGCGGCGTTGCTGAGTTGGCGCGGGTTGGGCAGCTGCGGCTCTCCCAGAGCTTGGTACACGCCGTCTGCGTAATTGGCCGGTACCAGGCGTCGCAATGGGCCGCCTGCAGGAAACAGGCTGAGTGAGGGCACTCCGTCCCCAACGAGCCCCGAACTTTGCCCTCCTCTTCCCTCACCAGGGACAAGACCCCTCTCCCTGGTCTCCTGGCCCCCGCAGGGATGCACAGGCGTTCGCTGCGCAGGCAGCCGCGGGGCTGGCGGTGGCTCCCCCACACGCTCCGCGCCGGGACGCACCTGCCGCGCCGCGCTGGTGGTGCCGCAGGTTGTTGAACCAGCCGTCATAGCGCTGCACTTCCCAGGGCAGTGAGAGTGTGTCCGCGCCGCCTGTGGGTCAGAGAGTGGCCCCCTCAGGGCTAGCCTCCCCGCGACGCCCCGGGTACCCGACGACCTCAGCCCGCGCTTCTCCGGCTCGCCCAGTGTCCCCAAACCGATCCGAGTGGCCGTGCCTGCGCAGCGTGGAGGCTGCGCTGGGAAGTTTGCCAGCCTGCTGAGCCGCGCAGCCATCTGACCCGATCTTCCAGCCTCGGGGAACCGCTTGACTTCATTGCTCCCTTCCCTCAACCCCAGGGTACTGAGTGACCCCCGGGAGGGCACCCGCTGCTTACCCGCCGGATCCAGGGATCCGGTCAGTAGAGCTCCCAGGAGCACCAGTGTCTCTGGTCTTACGTGGAGCATGCCGAGCCTGTAGCCTGGGGAATAGGAGGTGGTATGCGAGGGACAAAAAGCTGGCGTCCCCAAAGCCTACAGCCGGCACAGAAGGAGGAGGCATCAGCTGTTTTCACTTCGGGGGCGAAGCTTTTAGAAGCCTTACCAAAACCCGCACCGGCACGCTGCTCTTTGGGGAAGACGGCGGACGTGACAGCCCTCACCTCCCCGCCTGGGGAACGGCTTCTCCTAGAAAGCAGGAAAGCAGGGGAGGGAAAGGGGCTAGTAAGCTGGAGGCCAGCACATGCAGCGCCTCATCCTCCGAAATGAATGTCTGTGCATGGACTGGAGGGATGGGAAGATCAAGCCCCAAGCCCCGGTCCAACCTCTGGTTTAGAGCCCCCGTGGGGATCAGAAGTCTTTTTTCCTCTTGGAATCTTTGCTCTTTTGCTTTGCTTCCTGCCTCCACCACCCCATTCCCACAGCCACTCACCAGCTCAGCCTCCCGGCTGCGCTCTCGCCCAGCGCTCTGGGTCCTCTGAGGCACGTTGCGCGCGTGTCCACTCTGGCTAGACCGGTTACAGGTGTGACCGGCTGGACTCTGCGCTCACCCCCTGCTAGGAGGCAGGTCTCCTCTCATTTGCATAACGACCGCCTCCTCTACTTTGCATGATCTCTTCCCGGACAGATCCCACTTCCAAGCCCCGACGCTGCTTGGCACGCTGCCCGTGCAGCTATAAAAGGAGTCAGGGTCCCGAGCGACTTGCAAACGCAGAGCAAACCGCAGAGCTGCAAAGGTAACTGTGAGAAATAATTCCGTTTTCCCGCTGACCTGACTCCTCCCGGGCCAACCCCGAGCGCTCGAGGGCTGCGCTCCCCAGCCCAGGGGCGCAGACTTGACCAACCCCTTGGGTCTTGCCTTAGCACGCCAGGGGCGGGGTGAGGAGAAGTGGAACTCAAGCTTCGACGCCACGGACGTGCTCTCCCAGCTCCAGCAGGCTCCGCTCCCGGCTTTCCCGCCCGACAACGCACGGCGCTCGGCCTCGTTACAGCATGACGCTCTGGGATGGCGAGCTGCCTTTCTACCCCCAGCCCCGGCACGCCGCTGGCTTCAGCGTCCCGCTGCTCATTGTCATTCTGGTGTTCCTGACCTTGGCTGCCAGCTTCTTGCTCATCTTGCCCGGGATTCGTGGCCATTCGGTAAGGGGGTGCTAGAAGCTGGGGTCTGGGGACGTCGTGGGCAGCTTGTTTCGGGAGGACCCAGGACAGATTAAGACTGCAGCGAGGACCTCCATGGAAGAGTCAGAGAAGCATAGATGGGGCAGACCCAGAAGCCTAGCGCAGCACGCACCCCTTTCCAAGGACAGGAAGAGGTCCCATTCTAGACATCCTAGAGCAGCGGTTCTCAATCTGTGGGTCGCGACCCCTTTGACGGTAGAACGACCTTTTCACAGGGGTCGCCTAAGACCATCCTGCATATCAGATATTTACATCACGATTCATAACAGTAGCAACATTACAGTCATGAAGTAGCAACGAAAATAATTTTATGGTTGGGTCACAACGTGAGGAGCTGTATTTAAAGGGCCAGGCGGTTGAGAACCACTGTTAGAGCCTGGCCCAGTGGGTCATTCCGGAGGCTGCTGTGAAGAGCAGGTACCCACCTGGGGCCCATTCTAGTTTATGTGCTGGCTTGCCTCCTTGTCTCTCCCCCTACTGCAGCTCCATTCCCCCCACTCCCATTCACTCCTTCCCAGAAGGACAGAAACTAGCTGCTCAGACTGCTGTGTTTCACTTGTGTGCTGGGTTGAGACACCTGTATATGGATTCAGACACTTCCCCACAGGATTCAAAGCTGTAGCCGACTGGATACTTGCCCTGAGGTTCCCGTCCCTCTCCAAGAACCTACCTTGTTTTTCAAGTCTCGGAAGACTCAGCCTTCCTGGGTCTTGTCCTGCACTGGTTTCCTGGGAAACCAAGGAATGCCTGAGAGGTGGTGTTCATACCTCTCCTACTTGGCCACCAACCCCAGGGCCTCCTTCTCTTGGGGGAGGTGCCCCCTCCCTGCCTAGCACTTCTGGACTCACTGAGCCTTTTCATAGCAGTGACCTGAGCAGGAGGCGGAACCAGGACCAGGAGCCAGATAGCTGGGGGGAGAGGGGGGACGGTGAAGGTTGTGGGAGAGCACCAGGCAGGGAGAGATGGCCGATTGCAAAGTGGACTGGGAAATGGGGTTGGGGAGATGCAAGCACAAGGTCAGAAAACATCAGAAATGCCAGTGGCTCAGAGGGACTTGTATGAAAAGGAAGCCTGACTTCCGCCTCAAAGCTCCAGAAATGTAACTGGGAAAAGGACTTGGGGCAAGAGAGGGCAGTGCAGGAGCACTAAATATCCAGGGGGCAGGGGGACTCTGGTTGGACAGTACCCAGGCCTGACCCCGTGCCTGTTCCTGCAGCGCTGGTTTTGGTTGGTGCGAGTTCTCCTCAGTCTGTTCATCGGGGCAGAAATCGTGGGTGAGTGCGTGGTGCAACCGATGGGGAGGGGACCTGGGGTGGGGAAGGAGGCTGGCAGAGGGCACCTCACTGACCCACTGAAGCCCCTCTGCAAGTCCACAGCCACATCCCCCGACCCCCACTAAGCAGCACGAGCCTTTTTTCATCTCAGAGGGATCTGGGGTTTCCATTCAGGGATCTTTGCTCCCATAAATTTTCTTTTAGCTCTTACTCCAAACCTGGGAAAATGGAGAGCTGGGCTTCCCTCTTCCTCTGTCCATTTCCAGCTCTTTCTAGTGCCCACTCTTCGGTTCTTACCATATTGGACCTCCACTCCCATCTCTCTTCACAGTATCCCACCTTCCATCACCACGCCCCCAATTCCATCTCCCCAGCCCTTCCCCTAACCGCCCCCCGCCCGTGCCTCTCCTCACAGCGGTGCACTTCAGTGCGGATTGGTCAGTGGGTAGAGCGAACACCAACACTTCCTACAAGGCCTTCAGCGCAGCCCGCGTCCGAGCCCATGTGGGTCTGCACGTGGGCCTGGAGGGAATAAATATTACACTCACAGGTGAGCGGCTGGGCGACAGTGAACTTCTGGGATGGACAGACCCCATGGAGGGGGCGCGGGGAGGGGGGGCGGGAGTGTGCCAGGGGCAGCTGCAGGGCCTCTCGGGTCCCATGGGGCCATAGAGCTTGTGGTCCTCTCGCCTTTGTGTTTGCCCCAACCCCTGCCAAACCCGTTTCTCTCGCGCCTCCGCTTTACTATCCGAATCCACTTAGTTTCCGGGTCCGGGGCTGGGCGCGTCCCCATGACCCCCGCCGCCCTCCGCAGGGACCCCGGTGCAGCAGCTGAACGAGACTATCGACTACAACGAGCAGTTCACCTGGCGTCTGGGCGAGGACTACGCCGAGGAGTACGCGGAGGCGCTGGAGAAGGGCCTGCCCGACCCAGTTCTCTACTTGGCGGAGAAGTTCACCCCGAGCAGCCCTTGCGGGCTCTACCGCCAGTACCGCCTGGCGGGACACTTCGCTTCAGCCACGCTGTGGTGAGCCCTGTGTGTGTGTGTGTGTGTGTGCGCGCGCGTGTGTGTGTGTGTGCGCGTGTGTGTGCGTGTGTGTGTGTGTGTGTGTTTGTGTGTGTGTGTGTCCAATACGCTCCGGGGAGTGTGCTCGGCCCTCGGGTCAGAAGGTCAGGAGGACCGCACAGACCGTCGGAATCTCCCAGAGCCTCATCAAAGGCTGGGATCCAGCTACACCCTTTGAGGGTTCCCCCTGCACTTCCGCCACGCCACCCCGGGGTTTCGGCCTGGGGTAGAGGACGCGAGGCTGCGGGAGCCCGCGGACTGGGAGGAGCGGGCTCACGGCACCGGTGTCCCCGCAGGGTGGCGTTCTGCCTCTGGCTCCTCTCCAACGCGCTGCTCTCCATGCCGGTCCCGCTCTACGGCGGCCTGGCGCTCCTGGCCACCGGCGCCTTCGCGATCTTCGCCGTCTTGTCCTTCGTCTCCATCGCCAGTGTGCCGCTCTGCCCGCTGTACCTGGGCTCCACCGCCATCACCAGTCACTACGGCGCCGCCTTCTGGGTGACGCTGGCCACCGGTGAGGACCGAGCGAGGGGCCCGGGCGGCTGGGGATAGGGACGGGGTTTATACCGGTTGCGCGCTTTCCAGTTTACAAAGTGAGTTCACCTACATTACTCTTTGCCCCTCTCGATAGTTCGTAGAGGCAGGCGCTGTTGTGCCCATCTTGCAGAAGGGTGTGGCGTCTTGCCCAGTTAGCACTCGAACCCTTGTATCATGCCATCCATATCAGAGGTCCTTGTGTGTGTGTGTGTGTGAGAGAGAGAGAGAGAGAGAGAGAGAGAGAGAGGGGGGGGGGGGAGAGAGAGAGAGAAATGGGAGGGGTGGCTCCATAGATGAAGGGGGCAGGCCGGGTTCTGTCCCGGAGCCCTGACAGCCCCTTTTTCTTACATCTGCGCTGCCACAGGCGTCCTGTGCCTCCTTCTAGGAGGGGCGGTGGTTGGTCTCCACTACGCTAAGCCCAGCGCTCTTCGCACCTTCTTGGACGGAAGCGTCAAGAACTTCGGTAACCAGCCGCGAGGGGGCTCGCCTCTCGGCCTCAACAACCCATCCTACAAGCAGTTCTCGGCCTCTGAAGCAACGATCAGTACTAACCTGTGAAGGGGACGCGACCTCGGACTCCTACTCCGCCTCGGTCCCCGGGCGCAGAAGTTCACCCCCAGCAGCCCTTGCGGGCTCTACTGCCGGTACCGGTACCGCCTGGCGGGACACTACCCTGCGGTGCCCCTCCTGACCGCAGTGCCCGCCAAACCGGAGCCGGGACTGCTCTGGGAGAGGTGCTGCGCTGCCGGCCGCCAAGGAAAGGTGGGCGGCTCAGGCATGCGCCTTGCACCCAAGTCTCCCAAGATGAGCTGCAAATAAATTTTTTTCCCTTTTGTTTTGTAAAAACGGTTCTCCGTTCATTTCCATGGCTACTTCAGACTCTTGTGCGACAGGCGGCCTCGGGAGACTTCGCTGGGCTGCAGGCAGCCATAGAACATTTTCTTTGCCTTGCCACCCCAATTCTCCATCTGGAGAATCCAGAGTAACCCAGGAAAAGATCTGGGAGACGGGCGCCCTCTAGTGAGCTCAGAGGAGATCCGACCGGAGCCAGCATCTTCCTGAGCCACCCCAAAGGGATGGATGGTAAGGGCATGGTGACCAGACAGCTCACCCTCCAACTGACACAC